CCTAAATGCAACCTCCCTAAATGCATATATATGAAAAACCTCTCTAAATGCATGTCTTTTCTTGAGCCCAACTAATACAAACTTTTCTAAATACATCAAATAGGTTCATGTTTTAATATATATTTAGAAAACAATAAAATTAAATTAAATGTTGTTACCATTTAGCAGATGTACCGAAAAATTAATTATGCAATTATATTTTATTTTGAAACTAAAACTTTTGCTTATTAAAACAAATTTAAAAATATAAATTATGCAGATCTTTAATAATAAAAAAAAGAGAAATAATTTGATAGCTTGACCTTTTTTATTTAATTGCAAGCTTATTTTTTTTAAACTACAATTTCTGATATCAATATACTTTTATATACATATGTATATACATATATACATTATCACCACAGCAAAAATTGCAATTAATTGAATTAATTAGATAATTGTTACTACATCACTAATTAATTAATTGAGGTTAAATAATTGCCTTCACGATGAATTATTCAGTATACCTACCATTTCGTACTAATATATTGCCCAGGGTTTTATTTAAAACCTTCAAGTTTAAAATTGATAATACTCAGGATACTTTATATAGAACTAGATACTATATTCAGAAGATATTTATATTAACCAATTAATATGAATAATACCAAGATTTTAATCACAAAAGCATTACTTTGTGAAAACACTATGCAGTGTTAAATAGCAATAAATTTGTTCAAACCAGTTACTATAAGATGACTTAAATCAGCAACGATCATAGCTGAAGATTGAAACAAATCATGATTAAAACCTAGGAATGCCTGAAACATATATGATAATACATTTTACAGAAATTATTATGAATAGATAAATAATACAAAATACAGAATCTTAATAAAACTTAACTAGAAAATTAGTGTTTCAGTATCATTCATATTATGTTTAAATAAAAAAAAATAGGTTTTTTATATTTAAATCAAAAAACATTTTAAGAGTGACTTACTATTTTTCAATAAGCTTATCAGATTTTATGTTTAAAGCCACTGAATTGGCAAAAAAAGATTAATTCTTTTTTTTTTGCCATAAATTATAAAAAGCTTAATCGTGAAGATGCCAAGTTATTTTTTTGCACGCTAGCAATTCCTCAATAATAGTAAATCTAAACTTAATTGAATTCGTAATAACTGTATCAATTAGTTGTGATTTCTATTTTGTAATAACCATATCATGCTATGTAGATAGTGAAAATCTATAAAATATGTTGAAATCAATTAACAAAAATATTAAGAAGCAGTATTAAATATAAAAATTGTAAATGATTAAACATGTCACAATCAAAGCCACAAATTCCAATAATTGGGAGTGAATTCTTAACAGTAGAGCAATTCAAAGAAGCTGCTCAACAAGGAGCTAAGGTATTAGGCTTTGCTTTTAGTATATCATCATCAAAAATATTGTGTATTAAAAAAGATGATCATACTCTATTTGTTATACTACAATATGTGATGGGTGAAAAATATAAAAATAATCACGAAATTACTGAAAAAACTAGAAAAAGAAAAAAATTCACCAAATATCAAAGTTGTCCTGTTATTTTAAGAGCTTTTTTAAATGAAAATACTAGTATCTGGGTAGTAAGCTCTTACAAAAGTCAGCATAACTACAAACTTCTCCCTTAATCACAAGTTTATTGCCTCTATTAATATAGAATTATTAACAAAGAACAAAAGAAGCTAGTTCACATTATGCTTAGAAGTGGAGCATCAACCCAATTGATTGCTAACGCTATGTACTAGAAAAACAGAATTGTATACAAAGAATATTATGAATGAATATAATCAAATCAAAAATACTTTAAATAAAGGCTCAAATAATAACACTACTATGAGGCTTCTGCAAATGTTAAAAGAATATCAATATATAGTTTGGCATCTATTATCAAAAGATAGATCTATGCAAAATTTATTCTTTATATATATTGAAGCAGCATGTCAAGCAGCTATATATTCAGAAATACTTATAGTGGATGCAACCTATAAGACAAACTTATACAAACTTCTTTTTGTTAATAATGTTGGTATTAGCAATATTGGCAATAATAAAACTCTCAATACTTACCAGATCACAATAGCTTGGGTTGCAAATGGCAAGAACATATATACACATAGTTTTTAAATACTTTGAAGGAGACAGTTTATGATATTTTTTTTATACACCAGAAGTATTCGTCTCAGATAGAGACCTGATCCTCTAAAAAGCAGCAAATAATATTTTTCTAATAGCAAAAAAATGTTTTGCATATAGCATATGCTTGTGCAAAATTTACATACCATGTGCAGAAAGTTTTTTAACTTTGATGAAGATTATAACAAATTTTTGTTATTTGTTCAAAAAATAGCTTATTCCAGAGAGATGAGTGAGGTTAAAAAGGTATTTGACAAAATGAAGCAAGCATCAGATAAAAGTAAAAATCTAACCTATATACAAAATTACTTGGAAGAATAGAAAAAGGATGCTGAGTATTGGATACATGTATACACAAAAAATTATCTATATAAGGGTATACAATCAATTCAACAAGCCAAAGGAAGTCACAGGTTGAAGAAGGCAAAAGAGGCTGCAAGTAGTTTAGAACAAGTTTTTTCACATATTGATCGGGCCTTTCATCAATATAAACTTCAAACAAATAGAGCTTTAGGATTAAATCTTGTTTTTGCAAATCCATTTATTCTTAATAATAAAAGATTTGATCAACTAATTGGAAAATTTTCTAAGTAGGCAATCAACAGAATAAAAAAGAAGATATGCGAAGTTGAGAAAAATAAAGAAAATAGCAACAATGAAGAAAATAATTATTGTGAATATAGTTTAAGACTAAATTTTAAATTACCATGCCATCATATGATTCCACATACCAGATCTATTTCACTTTTACTTGTATACTCTCGTTAGTATCTAAATCATGATTCAGTACCTTAATTGTCTTTGTCGCCACTATCAAATGATAAAGCAATTAGCAAGGCTTTATATGAACTAGAAAAAAAATATGAAAGCCTAAGTGATTGCAGATCTAAAACCACATTTTTGTATAAAATTGAAGCTTTAGCTGCTGAAAAAATAATCGTTCCAAAGGTACCATTACATGTTGTAACTAAAAGGAGACCAATATCCACCAAACAAGATCTTTTTTTAAGTAAGAGTCAAAATAAAGCTGCTGCAATCAAAAACAAAAATATAAAAAACCAGTGCCAAAACATATTTTAAGTGAATGCCAAAATGAAGCTACTACAACAAAGAAGAGAAATACAAAAAAGCAATGCTACATCTTGTAAAAGGTCCACAACAAGAATATTTTCTATATCATGACCAAGTTCCTGTATATATGCATAAATATACAAAAGATGTAATCCACGTGAATAAAGATGGTAATTGTAGTTATAAAGCAGTGGCAGTAAGTTTAGGAAGAAGTGAGAATGAATGGTTAGTGATAAGAAAAGAATTAAAGAAAGAATTAAACGAAAGAGAGCAATTTTACCAGTCATTAGTTTTAGCTAATGATGACTATGAGACAATTATAAAGGAGATCGCTTGAGTAAATAGTCCTTGTACTTTTGAATACTAGATGAGAATACCACAAATGGGAGACGCTATAGCAAACACTTATCAAAGACCGTTATATTTTTTTTTATCACAAATAAATCTTACTTTTCTTCTATATCACCAACTATTAAATCAAAATAGAGCTCTTGCAATAACTTTTGTTAATAATAATCATTATGTGGCTCTAGTTTTAAAACCTGGTGCTCCTGTACCTCCAATCATTAATTGATGATTACAATTCGCTACTTTGACAGCATTTCAGTAGAAGCTGTTGATTCAAGATCATATTGCTAAGTTTCTTTCAATAAGTAATTAAGCTAAACGAAAAGGTTTAAAAAGATAAAAAAAAGATATATGGATAACTGTTAAGTAATTTAAGAATACTTCCACATTTTTTATAAGCAAATTTAAGAATACTTCTATGTTTTATATGATCTATTATATTTAAGAGACAAATTATGACTATATATTTTTAAGAGACAAATTATAGATATTTGATGTTCAAAATTTCTTTAATAATACCGTATATTGCCGAAAATAAGCCACCTCCAAAAATAAGTTACCTTCCTTTTTTGGAAGAAAAACGTAAAAACGTCTTATATCCGAAAATAAGCTACTATACGATCGTCAGTAGTTACTCTATAGTAAAGTCAAAATTTTACTAAGTAAATCGACATAGCTTATTATGTGAAAGTTGTTCAGGAGATCAAAATACATATATTTTGAAAGTTTTATCCTAATTAGATAACTTTTATTAATACGTTTTTGCATGTTACGTTCGACGAATTTTTTAAAATTTCTTTAACGTTTCTTTAAAATTCATATTCATCAAACGTAAAAATCAAATGCCAATTAATAAAAAGTTATTTGATTTTTATGAAACTTTTAGGATATGTGTAATTTTATCTCCTGAACAACTTTCACTTAATACGCATGATCGATTTACTTAGTAAAATTTTTCGCAATTGGCAAAAAAACGCTTTTACCCGAAAATAAGCTACCCACAAAATTTTTGTGTAACTTTTTGCTCAAAAATGGTAGCTTATTTTCGGACATATACGGTAACCGTAATTGCGTAATTGCATTTTAATATAATAAATTGATTTGTTTAATTTAAGTTTTTAAAAGGCTTGTATAGTATAGGATAATTATTAAAAAGCAAAAGATTTGACTTAATTATTTATATTTAAATAATGCCATATAAATATTTTGAACCAATTTATTTTACAGTCGGACCTCCCTAAATGCAACCTCCCTAAATGCATATATATGAAAAACCTCTCTAAATGCATGTCTTTTCTTGAGCCCAACTAATATAACACTTATAGAATTTTATCTCCCTAAATGCATAACCTCTCTAAATACATATTTTTAAAAATTTTTACTATGGTCCCAACGTCATGCATTTAGAGAGGGTTGACTGTATCATGCTGTAGCGAAAGTAAAAGAAAAATCAAATTGAAGTCTACTATTTATATCATACTATTTATATATCACATGACTGTACTGTTCTATGCATCATGTGACTGCACTGTTCCATTATCATGTGACTGCACTGTCCCTAAGGCAAAACATTCATTTTTGATACTTCTACGCTTACTTTTTTGATACACCTAGATGTACCCTAAAAATTTCTATACTTTTTTGATGCTCAAGTATCATCATCAAAAATTTACCCACATAATGATCGATGCACGAATAGCAATTTGATATAATGTAACACAGTTAGGAAAATTTAAAACAAACTATTCATTTAGAAACTGCCTCTAACATATGTTCTAGCCCTAAATCAACCAACTTCAAAAAACTTTTAGATACTGGCTAAGATATTACAAACCAGTAAATCATGCTAAAAGTTTTTTTAAAAAGTTTAAGCTACACTGAATACTAAACAAATGATATTTTTTTTAAAAAAAAACAACTTTGTTACATGAATGATATTTTTAAAATATTTATTACATAAATAATATGTTTAAAATATTTATTATGTGATTAGAATTTTCTTAAAAAAACTTTATTTACATTATCTTTAAAAAAACCATCGTGTATAAAATATATTTTTTTCAAAAAAAAGAAAAAAAAGCTTATATGAATATCGGTTTAAAAAAAATTCATTGTTTGTTGTATAATCTTTTTTAAAACTACGCGAACAGGCCGAAATAAAGTGTGTAAAACTTTTAAAAACATAGTAAATTTTATTTGTGAATTGTGCAGGCCAAAAAAAATCATTTATTTCAAGATTTTGAATAGTAGACCAAACGAATATTTTGTTTTGAATGTTCTTAATTGTGTTACATCAAATTACTATTCGTGTGTTGATCATCACGTGGCAAATTTTTGATAGCAATACTCGAGTATTAAAAAAGTATGGAAAATTTTAGGGTACAGCTGGAGGTATCAAAAAAGTAGACACAGAAGTATCAAAAATGAATGTTTTGCGTCCCTAAGCGACTTCCCTTACAGCACCCACAACAACGCCAGGGTGTAGGATCGATTTTACTGTCACATGATTTTCCGATGTCTATCAGCCAATCAAAGATCAGGATCAGGTATAACGTAAAGAAATTCAAAACAAACGTTCGCTTTGCAAAAATCGCATTTATCTCAAAATTTAGTGTAGTAAACCATC